GAAGTTTGGAGAAGAAGAGCATTTTGGGGAACAAGGAGACTTTGGGGACGAGGAGTTTGGGGAAGATGAGCAAGATTATTAGTGTTTTAGTCTTCTGAAGTTTTACAAACTATAAAACCTTTTATGTTTGCTTTTCCTTTGGATTGATTTGGATTATGTGTTTGCTATTTTTTCTTTTGGATTGGGTTGAATTATGCTATGTTAGTCTTAAGTTAGTGTTTCTGTTTTGAAAAAGTGAGGTGTTTTGTCTTTACTTGTTCATACATGTGAAGTATGTAGGCTATTAACCGTATTTGCGCCTCATATCTATAAAGCCCACCTCTAAGAGCGCCTAGGCTCAAGGCTACATCGAAGGACCTTTGCGCCTTGGTGCGCCTTGCGCCTTTTAAAACCAAGATAGCACGCTACATATTACAGTAATCATCTATAAACTATATTTACGACGTTATATTTGTTGATAACATGCTAATTTATGCATGTAACAAGGCACATCTTTGGATACTGTTAAACATACGAGTATCTCCCAACTAATGTTCTCACTTTCCAAGATAGAAGTGAACAAAATAAAAAAACAGGATATCCGTAAGACAATAAATATATATTACCAAACTGACTCTTATTTATTAATTTAGTAGAAGTCGTACTTATTAAATGTATGATAGAAAAGTCACTTTAACAAAATCCACGACATTAGATAGATATCCATAAACTGATTTCAAAATAATATCAGCAAACCATTTTCAATGTTCTTCACCCATTGCTTCCCTGTCTCCTTCATTCTTTCGTGTACATTGTCAATAGTTATATGGTGAAGCTCAAAATATTATTTTTGCGACGTCTTTTTGAATTTAGCAAACTGCTTGGCAAGGAAGACAACAAATCCATAGGATAGGATATCTTCTTTTAGCCTATCATCACATTTAGAACCATTTTGGATTACATCCCTCATCACCAACACACAAGAGCCCATAACCTACATGGTACAAAATCCAACTTAGAGATACAATTTTAATTCGAAAGCAATACAATAAATAATACAGAAGAGAAGGCACTTACATCAGGATGAGAAGGATCACTTGTTAGTGGAATCCTAAAAAGGTCCTCATCTTTCAAAACTATTTCCCTAAAATTAGAAGATGGCTATCAAAATAAATACCAAGCTACAAATCCATATACACCGCTATATTTAAAGATAGCATGAAATTAGCATTGGGCTATCAAAATAAATACCAAGTTACAACATGTATTACTCATCTACAAATCCATATGCGCCGCTATATTTAAAAATAGCATGAAATTAGCATTGGGCTATCAAAATAAATACCAAACTACAACATATACTATCCATCTACAAAATCCATATACACCGAAATATTTAAAGATGGTCTGTTTTGTAATAGAATATATATAAAAATTGTGGATTAGTTACCGGGTTGGAACGGTCTCCTGAGATAGGATCATGAATTTTCAATGGTGGAAGGACGGAGAACAACCCTAACTGTGTACAACTTAAAATAGCAATTAACACGATTCCCAACCGGTTCTTCTCTGTCCACAAAAACGCGTGTAGAGAGGGTGGGCATGTCTATGAATCTATACGCAATGGAATACAAAAAGTCAATAATCAGACGTATAGATGTAGAAATGTATATAGGAGAACCAATCTAATGAAAGAAGATATCTTTTAGTAAATTGAGCCATAAGATTACAATTAGCGAGAGAAAACTTAACATAACCCCTGATTTTATCTGATAACCGAGTAACGAAAATTTTAGATCCGTAAAATCAGATGACATTGCCAGAAAATCAAATAAACACATGCGAAACTAAAAACATAGATCTGTAAAAGAGTTTCTCACATCTTCATTCTTTTGTTTCTGCTTATATTTGTCATATTTCTCTATCCAGTACACATTGCATTATATCAAAACTCAAAACACATGCTTTTTTCGTATACACTAATCTCTAATCTTTTAGTTGTATATGCTTTATTATATCTAGTTCAACTAATGAAAGAAGAGTCAAAGTAATACATTAAAGTAATACAGTTTGATTCAAAAAAGTTACTCTGTTTTGACGGCGACAATAGCAGAGGAGGAACAGAGGAAGAAGAACTCTGTTATGTCTGGTTTGTAAATTTTTTTTATTTCTTCTGCATTTTAATTT